TTAGACTGAGCTGTCGGCTTCCTGCAGGAGGTGTTGAGGAGCTGTGGAAAGCAAAGCTCTGCTCCGTCCTGGGTCTGCATCATCCAAGATCTGCAGACTTCTGAGCAGACTCTCTGTCACACAGCTGATTCCTCTTTTTCCTCTTGTCTCTTCCTCCCCTCCTCTCTGTCTCTGAGATACCCAGAACCTTCCTCTCTTGCTCTACACATCACATCACACCATCTTTAACTCTTTATCTGTCACCCTCCTTCTATCATTGTCTTCTTTCTTTTTCTCTTGCACTTTGTTTCTGTATACATACTGACAATATACTGGATTGTGCCCCTCATCATTTTCCCTTTTCTCTGCTTTCTACTTGGCTGCAAACTGTCCCAGCTTATGATGAGGGTTATGATGAGGCTAATGAAGCCAGAAGTATATCAGCGGCACAAAGCAGACAGTCTTCACCAAACTAGATGCTGCTAGAGATTCTTTCAAGGAAACCAGAAACAAAATTGACAGCCATGGACATCAGGAATTTCTCCACCACCTTTGTCCCACAGTGTTCTAGAAACTCAGTCCAAGCACAGGAATCTTTGTCAAAGCACCACTGGAGTTTAGATCAAAGCAAGGCAGCTTATTTTATAGAGCACATTTCATAACCAGAGGCAATTCAAAGTGCTTCACAGAGGCAAAGAAAAACAGTAACAGCATTAAATATTATAAGCATTAAAACCAGATTGCTGCTTACTAAGGGTATCAGAGCCCTGCTGGGTTTGGATTCTGTAGGTAACTGGGAGCCAGTGCAGAGATTTAAGAACAGGAGTGATGTGCTCAGTTCTCCTGGTTCTGGTTCAAACTCTCTCAATGAGCTGAAGTTGTCTAACAGTCTTTTGGGGAAGGCCGGACAAAAGATCGCTACATTTTCTCAACATGCTGCACACCGAGGCAGACCTGTTTGCGCGTTCCACTCTCGAATGCTGGCTTTTTCTTCGTTTTTCTTTTTTTGTGTGTGTGTTTTTTACTCTTTCTGCAGTGCACAAATGTCATGCACTGTGTTGTGGTGAAATTATTTACTAAAGCTCAGTCAGTGTAAAATAAAACTTACCAACTCTGAAAGTTATTACATATTTATTCCTGCAGGAAGGAGTGATCTCAACTCAGAATGTCCAGGCAGTCTGATGGAGAGAAGCTCAATGAACAGAATGTGACTGCCCTTCTTATTCTCAGCATACAATAGCAGAAAAACAGATGCTCAAACAGATAAGGAAAACAGGATACCAGTTCAAGCAGGATACAAGCCATCTGGTTCAGTAGTCACACAAAGGCAGGAAATCTTTACAAACACGCTGACACAATAAACAGTCTGGGGTCACAACCACACAAATGACTGCATACCGTGAATTGAAAGCCACAGTTAATAAACTACTAGGCTTCAAAGCATTGGCTAAAAAACTTTAAAAACGGTGCTACCATAAAATTGCCACTACAACTGTTAACATACAATAGACAGGCATTGCTGGATATCACTAACTCACACAGCCAATGGGAATTTACTGGTTTCATACCACCGGAGCTACAACTCATTATTTGCTCCCGCAACAACAACAACCACCATCCCTCTCAGCAAGCCCCCGAAGCACACGGCATGAGCGAGCAGGCTGAAATCAGGAGAGCAACCAGACCCAAGAGCAACTTGCACAAGGTGAGGAGTTGTTCAGATATGGTAAAAAAAGATTACTTATGAGTGCAGTGAGAGCAGGTGAGTGCAGAAAGAGCAGGAAATGAGCATGGTGGAGATGGAGTATATAGTTTCCAAGATAAGTGCACTGATAATGCAGATATCGCACCAATGAGAGAGTGACAATGAAACAGGCAGGGAGCTGGCAACTGACCAGATCATGATTCAGGCTAAAGTTCATACCAATAAGGTAGATAGGTTGGGAAGGGGCAGGCAGAAATGGAGTCCAAACAAAAGCCTACTGAGGCAGGGGAAATAGCAAGTCCCTAAAAAAATAAAAGCCTCAAAACAGTAAACCAGGAACTGATCATGACTAAACTAAATATTGGTAAGTACAGTATATTACATCATTGTCATGGCTTCCCTACCTTGGCCCCTTCCTTCTGTTTCTCTTTCAATGGGTACCCACTGATTCACTCCTCCTTCAGTGGTACTGGGATGCCCGTTTCTTTCTTGTGCCCCTTTTTTCCTCTCTACCCTTCTTCATCAGGCATCAGGATTCCCACTGTTTCTTCCCACACAGGCACTGGGATGTCAACTCATGTCCCCATCTCTATCCCTTTTTCCTATTGTTTTCTTCTTCCTTGGGCACTCAGATGCCCATGCGTTTTTCTTTGCTGGCCCTAGGGTGTTGGTTTACTTTTTTCCCATGATTCAAATGAGCACCGGGTTGCCTTCTATCCTTACTTTGGCCACAGGCACCAGGATCTGGACTATCCATTTGCTGGCACCAAGATGCCACTCACTCCTTCCCCCAACACCTCTTTCTTCTGCCACTCTCTAAAAAAACTAACCAATAAACAAAAAGACAGACAGAAAAGGCCAGTACCAGGATGCCAGATATCTTTTCCTCTGCCACCTCTGACTCATCAGCTTTTCTTCTGTTAATTGCCATTTGGATGCCTGTTTCTTGCACCTCCTTCTTCTACCCACCATGAGTGAGACTCTCCCAAGCCTCACTCATGGTGTAAGGGCCCTACTATTTTTCCATATTTGTTCATTCACTATCAGTTTTGCCTGGGCATGGATGGTAGTGCTACCGTGTCTGCTTTGCTGCCTTCCATCAGACCCACTTCTTTGCTCCCATCCCCTGACAGTTGCCATCAAATTCAGCAAGGCATCTGCAATCCCTCCCTTTCTCCAGACCTCTTTGTTGAAGGGTCCCAGTCTAACCCAGGAGACATCCAGCTTTTCACTGTTGCTGCCCAAGTCTGCCAATTTTGGGGGTATCTACAGCAACAGATGGTCCTCCGTGACCTGGCCTCCCAAATTCAAACAGTTCCTCAACCTTCAAGACTATACTGTAGCACCTCATGCTGAAGAAGATTCTATGCCCATTCCACAATTTTCAGTTACATTCCCAGTGTCTTAACCCCACTCTGGCTGTTTCCATATTGTAACACAAAGTGCCTGGAAAGAAAGAGAAAAGTGTAAGTTAACCAACAAGTCCTCATATTTACATGACACAAATGGTTAATTTCTAAAACAATCTAAACAATCACTTCAAAACACCCTGTTTTCTTTTTCTGCTCTGCCACACCAGTTGTTATTCTACAGTATGTTTAGCCTCCAGCAGTTAAAGCTTTGTTGAAGTCATGGTTCAAAGGATGAAGGAATATTGCTGGTAGAAGATTTCTAGTGTGACCTCATACAACATGATTAAATTATTCTTGAAAGTCTAAATGTTCATATTCAGTGAATCTCTGCCTGAAATGTGAGACTGAGATGACAACAAGCAGGTTGAGAAACACAGTAAGCACAGAGACAGAGACCAGCAGGATGTTCAGGAACACAGCGTTAGACTGGGCTGTCGGCTTCCTGCAGGAGGTGTTGAGGAGCTGCGGGAAGCAGAGCTCTGCTCCGTCCTGAGACTCCATCACCAGAGGAGAGGAGAAGCTGCAGCTCGGGTAGTTCTCTGTCTAAGGATTTCTGCCAACAAAATACTGATTTTACTTTATGCTTGTTCTTTCATCCCTTCCCTCCTTCTGGGTCTCTGTTGGACACTGGGGTAATATATCACATTTCTGTTTGATGTTACACATGTGGGAGAATATATTTTCCTGGGGCCAGACAGGGGCCAGTCCTAACCCGCACAGCTCTGTATCTGCTGTCAAAAACCTCTCAGCCTAAACAGTCTGTTGCAAAGTTTACAATGTAAGATTTGAGTCTTATAGACTCTAGTTACTTTATAAGCTTTAGTTACTTCTCATACCTGTAGTTACCTTTCATAACTTTATTTTACTTGGTTATGCATATTACAGCTGTATTGATGATTGTCCAGAACTATTGAGCTTTGGTTATTTTAATGCATTTGTTTCCCTTGCTTATATATATCTTACAGCTATAATGAAGCAGAATCTGCTTACTTTGAGTGCTGTAACTTGTGTGTAGAGACTAGATGTCTGCATCTCTTTGTGACCAGACAGCCTATTTACATTTTAACAAAGCCCCACTAG